CTTGGGAGGCAGCCCAAGCGCTGGCGTAGCGTCCGACTGGAGGGTTTCAGGCTTTAGGGTTTGGGGGTTTAGGGTTCAAGGTTTGGGGTTTAGGGTTGGGGGTTTAGGATTTAGGGTTTGGGGTATAGGGTTTAGGGTTTGGGGTTTAGGATTTAGGGTTTGGGGTTTAGGGTTTGATGTTCACCTACGACTCAAATTTGGTCCAAGAGCCATCTACACTATGCACCAGTGTGGTCTTTTGGCCCCAAAGCCTTAAACATAGTCATCCTGAGAGCCTCAAGGTAAAGCTAGCTTTAGTTCTGGCTGTAGATTTAGGGTTTGTGATGATTAACGTCCACTGTAGTTACAAGCTCTTGTCCGTTTTCCGCAACGTTGAGACACTTCAATCTTCAAACAGGTGCAGACTAGGTGTGCAGCTACTTTACGATCAGGAGGTCGGGCTTGAGTTCAGGGTTTAGGGTTTAGGGTTTCGTCAAGAGCCTCCCACAATATTCCAAGTGCGCCCCCAAACCCAAATAAAACCGAAACCGTCTGAGTACCCTGCCTGACCAAACTGCTGCCACTGTTGGACCTGATGGTGCGGCGGTTGTTTACAGAACACGGGGCAGAATTAGAGTGAAGTGAAGGGTTTTGCCTTGAGGCTGCAGGTGGGGGCTTGATATTTCATCAAGGCTACCCTAAACCCTAAAGAAAAGACAACAACAATGAACTAAACAGCTTGAGGCATGTGGCGCTGCGAAGCGACCGTTTCAGAACGTTCTACCCGATCCCCCAACACTGGGGGCCTCAATAATTGGGATCGGGTTTTGGGCATGTCTGCTAATGTTATGAGAATATGGACGGAGAGGGGAAGATTTAGGGACATTAGAGCGGCCCAAAGTACTCGTTGATGGGGGGGGGTGCTTGGTTTCGTGTGACAAGTATCGTAACCCTAAAAATATATGTTTCGGTTTGGACCCTTGCCTAAGAAAGTCATGTAACCAAAACTGGTAACTACACTGGCAAGATCAAGGCAGGGAAGCGTTAAGGTTGGAGGTAGGTTCTTCAAAAGGAACTCAGCACCCATCGCTGCATCACTTCGCCCAAACAGCCCAAACACCCAAATGGCATGTGCGCAGAGGCCACCGTGCATGTAGTTCCACAATGTAAGGCCGCGCCCAAGCTTTAGAGGCTCACCGAACCAAAAGAAGAACAGCCAGACATCCGATTGACCTACTCCGTTCATGTGGTTGCATGTCTCATGCGGTGATACCAGCTGAGCCAGACAACAGTCTCGCTGGGAAAAATGCATGGCCACAGCAACGCTGCTGGCAGTACAGTTTGTGCAGCCCGTAGCACCAGGAAGCCACTAAAACCAGGCCCCACGGTGACTCTGGGTGCACAACCGGATGCTTCCAACAACATGCAGACGACACATTCCAAAGCATCTCGGTGCAAGCAGCTGCAATTCTCAAGCCTAGCCTGTGTCAGCGTGAGCTGAGTAATGAACGAATCAATGCCTCAGCTCATATGACCGTCGTGAATGCAGTTTCATCATCTCAGGCCGTGTCGAAGATTTAGAGACTCACCGAACAAGAAGAAGAACCGCTAGACATCCGATGGACCTACTCTGCTCATGTGGTTACATGTCTCATGCGGTGATACCAGCTGAGCCAGACAAGAGTCTCGCTGGGAAAAGTGCATGGCCACAGCAACGCTGCTGGCAGTACAGTTTGTGCAGCCCGTAGCACCAGGAAGCCACTAAAACCAGGCCCCACGGTGACTCTGGGTGCACAACCGGATGCTACAACATGCAGACGACACGTTCCAAAGCATCTCGGTGCAAGCAGCTGCAATTCTCAAGCCTAGCCTGTGTCAGCGTGAGCTGAGTAATGAACGAATCAATGCCTCAGCTCATATGACCGTCGTGAATGCAGTTTCATCATCTCAGGCCGCGTCGAAGCTTTAGAGACTCACTGAACCAGTAGAAAAACAGCTAGACATCTCATGTGGTTGCATGTCTCATGCGGTGATACCAGCTGAGCCAGACAACAATCTCGCTGGGAAAAGTGCATGGCCACAGCAAAGCTGTTGGCAGTGCAGTTTGTGCAGCCCGTAGCACCAGGAAGCCACTAAAACCAGGCCCCGCGGTGACTCTGGGTGCACAACCGGATGCTTCCAACAACATGCAGACGACATGCTCCAATGCATCGCGGTGCAGCAGCTGCAATTCTCAAGCGTAGCCTGTGTCAGCGTGAGCTGAGTATGAACGAATCAATGCCTCAGCTCATATGACGGTCGTGAATGCAGTTTCATCATCTCAGGCTGCGTCGAAGCTTTAGAGACTCACCGAACCAGAAGAAAAACAGCTAGACATCCGATTGACCTACTCTGCTCATGTGGTTGCATGTCTCATGCGGTGATACCAGCTGAGCCAGACAACAGTCTCGCTGGGAAAAGTGCATGGCCACAGCAACGCTGTTGGCAGTGCAGTTTGTGCAGCCCGTAGCACCAGGAAGCCACTAAAACCAGGCCCCACGGTGACTCTGGGTGCACAGCCGGATGCTACAACATGCAGACGACACGTTCCAAAGCATCTCGGTGCAAGCAGCTGCAATTCTCAAGCCTAGCCTGTGTCAGCGTGAGCTGAGTAATGAACGAATCAATGCCTCAGCTCATATGACCGTCGTGAATGCAGTTTCATCATCTCAGGCCGCGTCGAAGCTTTAGAGACTCACCGAACCAGAAGAAAAACAGCTAGACATCCGATTGACCTACTCCGTTCATGTGGTTGCATGTCTCATGCGGTGATACCAGCTGAGCCAGACAACAGTCCGCTGGGAAAAGTGCATGGCCACAGCAACGCTGTTGGCAGTACAGTTTGTGCAGCCCGTAGCACCAGGAAGCCACTAAAACCAGGCCCCACGGTGACTCTGGGTGCACAACCGGATGCTACAACATGCAGACGACACGTTCCAATGCATCTCGGTGCAAGCAGCTGCAATTCTCAAGCCTAGCCTGTGTCAGCGTGAGCTGAGTAATGAACGAATCAATGCCTCAGCTCATATGACCGTCGTGAATGCAGTTTCATCATCTCAGGCTACGTTGAAGCTGCAGAGACTCACTGAACCAGTAGAAAAACAGCTAGACATCCGATTGACCTTCTCTGCTCATGTGGTTACATGTCTCATGCGGTGATACCAGCTGAGCCAGACAAGAATCTCCCTGGGAAAAGTGCATGGCCACAGCAAAGCTGTTGGCAGTGCAGTTTGTGCAGCCCGTAGCACCAGGAAGCCACTAAAGCCAGGCCCCACGGTGACTCTGGGTGCACAACCGGATGCTTCCAGCAACATGCAGACGACAAGCTCCAATGCATCTCGGTGCAAGCAGCTGCAATTCTCATGCGTAACCTGTGTCAGCGTGAGCTGAGTAATGAACGAATCAATGCCTCAGCTCATATGACCGTCGTGAATGCAGTTTCATCATCTCAGGCTGCGTCGAAGCTTTAGAGACTCACTGAACCAGTAGAAAAACAGCTAGACATCCGATTGACCTACTCTGCTCATGTGGTTGCATGTCTCATGCGGTGATACCAGCTGAGCCAGACAAGAATCTCGCTGGGAAAAGTGCATGGCCACAGCAACGCTGCTGGCAGTGCAGTTTGTGCAGCCCGTAGCACCAGGAAGCCACTAAAACCAGACCCCACGGTGACTCTGGGTGCACAACCGGATGCTTCCAACAACATGCAGAAGACACGCTCCAATGCATCTCGGTGCAAGCAGCTGCAATTCTCAAGCGTAGCCTGTGTCAGCGTGAGCTGAGTATGAACGAATCAATGCCTCAGCTCATATGACCGTCGTGAATGCAGTTTCATCATCTCAGGCTACGTTGAAGCTGCAGAGACTCACCGAACCAGAAGAAGAACCGCTAGACATCCGATTGACCTACTCTGCTCATGTGGTTGCATGTCTCATGCGGTGATACCAGCTGAGCCAGACAACAGTCTCGCTGGGAAAAGTGCATGGCCACAGCAAAGCTGTTGGCAGTGCAGTTTGTGCAGCCCGTAGCACCAGGAAGCCACTAAAACCAGGGTCCACGGTGACTCTGGGTGCACAACCGAACTATAAACCCTCACCCCTCTTCCCTAGACCCCTAAACACCATTTATCCCTACCCCCCACAGCCTTGCAACCTGAATCTCAGCCAGTTTTCCGCCCGAACCCCAACCTCGAGCGCTTTGCAAACTCAAGCACCAAACGTACGGTTGGATTGCAAAAGCATCCCTCAACACCACGGTTTAGGGTTTAGGGTTTAGGGACCCCCAGTCTAAGCATCTTGGCACTCAGAACCTAAAGCCCATTAAACCCCAAACCTCCAAACCCTAAATTAGACCCTTGTAGACCTCGAGCCCTAACCCCAAACCTTAAAACATAAGAACTACCTAGAGCTCTGACACCCCAAACCCCAACCCAAGATCTTCTAAGACTTGAAAAAGCATGGTCCGTCTCCTCCTTCAGAATTGGGTTTAGGGTTTAGGGTGCAGAATCGTCGTCGCCGTGATTCTTCGGACTTAAACGGAATCATGTAAACACTCCCCAAAATACACGGATATGCTCATCCAACACCCAGCTGCCTACGAAACTTTGGTCTGTTGAAATTATAAGGCCAATAATGCCTGAACTCGAAAGCCTTAATTATAAACCCCTGAAGCCCTAAACCCTGAAATATGGAAGCGCTACGACTTCAAAGCTTGAAGCCTGAGGCTCAGACCCTAAAGCTTACTTCCCCAATAAGCCAGGGAAATACAAGGTTAAACTTTCCGACTACTACTAAAGTATAAGAACCCAAAAGTTTAAAGGTTGGGTATTCGGGAACTAAGAAAATGGGAGTTTCACGAAAATAAGGGACCCTCATATAGTACCCTAAATAGTAGGATCCTTATTATAAGGACCCCAAAATATGGTACCCCTTAATTTTGGAAACTCCCAAATAGAAGCTGAACGGTCGTCTGGGACTCCGGGCGCATTCCTCCAGGCCCTCTGCCGTGTCTGACACGCTGATGTCCTTCTTTCGGGCCGAGGGGGCCTACCTTCTTTCGGGCCGAAGGGGGCCTAATACAAGGGCCTTGCGGGTCAGGTTTATTGTTTAGGGTTTAGGGTTCCTGACTTATACATCTTAGAAAACCATCCAATAGTCGGAGGGTCCATGTACTTCCATTGCATGTACTTTGGCCTCAAAGGGCTTTTTATGTCGGTGCCTTACGCCCCGGGTCTGTACTGTATAGGCACATGGACACCTCGAGGTTCAGGGTTTGTGTTTGATAGGGCTGGAACCCCGAAGCACAAAGCCACACAACATCTAGAGCTCCGTTGCATAGTACAAAAGCCCGAATACACTTCTACTACATGTTCTGCCCCCCAAAGCCTTTGCTAGTTATTCAGGCCCCTCTTTGTGTTACGTATGCGTTGTTGTTGCGATGTCTTGAGGCTTCAAGCTCCCAGCATCTGGAATTCTTCTGTGACGGAAGAGACCCCGTGATGTCGTATTATGTAGCTGTACCTGCTTTACGCTCCTGCCTTCGCACCTGCTCAGGCAACCGCCGAAACTCACGACGACTTGGCGACATTACCGTCTCTTTTCATGCCCCCCCCCCTCCCCAAGGCTTCCGGAATGGCCTTCAACCCTAAAACCCTATAACCTACATATAAGCCCCCCAAAGGGTCCACGACTCTCTAAGCCATATCGTACATACAATTCACACAAGAGTGCCATAGAAGATCCTCTCCGAGGATGAAGTCTCCAACAGAGGCACGGGAACCCTTCGGCACATGTGGTAAACCCCAAAAAGTTGGAAACCGGATGAAGGACGAATAGTGCTGGGATTCCTTATACATTACTCTTAAGGAATGAGGCTATTGGGTCTCCAACTTTTGGGCTTCTACTATAAACCATATCAGCACCGCCCTTCATGCGACAAGCGTGAGCTCACAGCCAACCATATAGGGTCCTTAATGATTTGAATATGGTTGTGCACCACATTGCCACTATACTAGAAATAGCATAAATATCCCTATCAGACTGCTGAATATCAAACCTAAACCCTGGCCCCAAAACCCAAAACCCAAAACCCTAAACCCCCAAACCCAAAACCCAAAACCCTAAACCCGAACCCCTAAACCCAAAGGCCTAATTAGACCCGAAGCCGCTATGTGACAAGAGCAACAGATCGGAAGAAAGAGCCGGTGAGACCTGCAGGGTGGAAGGTGAATTGAAATGCCGCTATGGCTCTGAGTTTAGGGTTTAGGGATGATTAGGGTTTACGGTTTAGGGTTTAGGGGTTTGGGTTTAGGGTTTAGGGATTAGGGTTCCTTGCCGGAAGCTTGACCCTGACTGAATCCCTAAAAGAACCCTTAGAGGAACCAAACCCTAAACCCTAAACCCTAAAACCTAAACCCCTTGCAGGCACCTATGGAGTTAGGGTCACTGGCCTCCCGCAGTGTCACCACCGCACGGAGGAGATCGTCGAGGATAGAAGCCAGATCGTCCTGCGAGCCGATGTTTGTCTAACAGGGTTGCAATGGGTTTAGATGTTTGTGACTTTGTGACCGGGTATATTCCATTTTTGGTTTTTTAGAAGCAACGGCCTAAGGGTTTTACAATATGTTCCCCGAAACCCTGTAATTCCCTGAAGCCCTGTAGAACCTTGGATCCCAAACCGTAGTATTCTTAGCCTAATACCCTAAGCCCTACGCTTTCCAAAAAAGACGGCTGGAAGCCGGCTACCTGGGTGGTGGTCCCTCGTTTGAAGCGGACCGGATTCGAACCAAGAAGCCAGGGAAATAAAGGTTAAACTTTCAGATTACTACTCAATTGTAAGAACCCAGAAAGTTTAAAGGTTGGGTATTGGAGAACTAAGTCTTCAGGGCTTTAGAGTTTTCGGATTTCAATTGGGCCCAATTTGGGCGTTCAGACCTCTGTCGCTCAAACAAGGAGGCCCCTTTTCAAAGAGGACCGCACCCCTAGAAGCCAGGTTCCATATTTGCAAGGCCTATAAAGAGCCTAAACCCCTTGCTTTCAAGGTGCACATCACGAATATATGAAAGTTCGAGGCCCGAAAACCCTAAACCCCCAAACCCGGACCCAAAAGCCTTGAAACAAATACATAGAGCCTAGGCATCCATACCTACTTTTATTTCTAACGACATTTAAAGTACTTCCAACCTCACCCAGGGTGGCCTTTTAAAGTGCTCGTAAATAAGATTCAAAAGCCCTGTGCGCAATGCACCTAGGCAAGTATAACACTGTCCCGACAGCCTACCTAGTCACTGGCTGAGAACAAGGTTCCCTAAGTAACCTCTGCACCAACCACCTTAGGGCTTCAGGGCTTTAGGGTTTACGGTTTAAAAGGGCTTAGGGCTAGGGGGTTTAGGGCTTTAAGGGTTTACGGTGTAGGGTTGGGGGCCCCTCCTTGTCGAAGGTCTCGCGCAAGGTCCGGATCAGCGACATCAGCCGATCGACAAGATCCAAGCAGACCTTAGTGCTTGGGCACATTGTATTACTTGGCGTTACTGAGTATAGGGTTTGCGGTCTAGGGTTTAGGGCTGTCGGTTTAAACTTAGGATTTAGAGGAATAGTCTTAGATTGCCAAAAGTTAGTTGGGCTGGGGGGTACTGTAACCAGAAGGACTAGAACAGGGACTATAGGGGAGTACCATTGTGAGTTGTGAAGTTGTTCACACCCTGCATAATCTGTTTGTTTAATGTTTTTGTGCCCTTGGTTCTGATGTGGTCGTATATGAGAGCTTCCCACAGCAGCGGATCCCATATTCAGACCGTAAATGAAAGAGCTCGCGTCATGAACATCTTCAGTGACCTAACCTCATCTTCCATCGTACACTAGGAGCGAACTGCCTTTGCGAAGTCCAGAACGTCATCGAACAGCCTGAAGCGCAGCACCACCGAGTAAACGACACGAAATTGGCGATGCGTGCCCATAGAGTGGTACGCGTGCGTCCTTGGGATGAGGACATCTTTCACGTCCTTAGTTGCGTCCGGTCCCAGAATCTCACCCCACCTCGCGGTCGCTGCGACACTCCTTCCAGTAATGACTGGCATGATCGGTCGTGACAAGCTGCGACGTGTGCGGCTTGACAATGACATGCCCCAAGTTCCCCTCCTTCGAACCAACAGGGCTTCTATAAGGCTTCCAACAAGGTATATAGACCTTCTATAAGGCTCCTATAACGGTAACTACCCACCTGAAAATGTCCTAGATTGCAGGTATGACAGGTATGATTTCCAAGACTACTCCTTGTAGACTTATAGGGGTCCTGAAGCAAGTAGGTACCATAGACCCCCAAAGCCCAATTCTACTCACAATGCCCCTAAGATTTTAGCAAGTAAGACCTGTTTGCGGAAGTGGCGCTTTAACACGAAGCAATGCCTCTGTCCGTTCCTGCAGAAAGGGCGGTATGGCTAAGACATAGTTACGGACACCCCAAACCCCAAAAAAACAAGCCCTCGACCCTAAACCCTAAACCCGAAGCCCTAGACCCCAAGACACAAACACCTGAACCCTCAAATCTCAAAGCCCGAAAGACCAGGCTCCTTGTAGATCCCTCCAAGCATCCCTTAAAGGGTTTAGGGCTTTAGGGTTTTAGGGTTTAGGGTTTAGGGTTTAGGGTTTCTGGTCCGGGGTCTAGGGTTTAGGACCCCCAAAGCCAGCCAACACGACGCAGACAGAGGGTCCCCACGGAAGCTACATCGCCACCTGGCCGCAGGGAGTGAGCTGAATAATGGGTATTTGGGGTCTAGTCGAGGGTTGTTAGGGGGTCTAGGTCGATAGAGTTTAGGGTTTGGAGATTAGGGCGTCGCCATATAGTTTGACAAGGGCCGGAAAGGGATCTATGAGGGGCGCCGCCGTGTTCTACAGTCTCAAACGCTGTACATGGGCGGCCAATAAGGTTATCTCAAGGTTTTTTTTATTATACGGGTTTCAGACGGCTTTATGTGGGTTTCATCGGGTTTTATATGACTTACAAGGATGTTTGTAGATTTGTAGATCCTAGCAAGCAAACAGTATGTACTTGACCCAAAAGATACCAAACAGGAAGTCTTTCCAGGAAAGAAATGTTGCTTGCGATTTGTATAGTTTATACTTACATGAACGGAAAGCTGACCTCCAAACGGTTTTGGGTTCAGGGATTGGGGTTTAGGGCTTCAGGGCTGAAAGCCCTTGCGGTCAGCCTCCCAAGCAGAAACCCTGGCCCTATAACCCCGATATATTAGGGATTATGCAAAGGACTACAAGGTTTCTTAACCAGGTTCCTATCAAGTCACACTGCGCAGCAGGCAATTCACGCTTCACTCTCTTGACGTCTGCCACGAGGGCGTTCTGCTTCTGCGCCAACGCGTCGGCAACGGCCACTTTTTGCCGCCTCGGTCTTCGCCGTCTGAATTTCCCTCACCCTCCTTCCAGGGGGACCATGGCTTTCGAGGTGGAACCTAATCAAGAAACCCTGGTTCTTTATTAGGCTTCTTCATATGACCCCTAAGTTGTAGTGCCAGGGTTTCTTAATCAGGTT